CCTCTCGTAACTCCCTTCAACCCTTACTGCCTTATTGGGCTGTGATCTCGCTGAATGGCGGAACAGGTCCGGGGTTGGTGGGGGGGATGTGTGGGGGATGGGGGTGGGTAGGAAAGGCTAACTCACGTTGTTACACTGCCCAGTTGCCGTCCTGCGAAACAGCAAAGCTGTCTCATGGGAAACCCGGGGCTTAGAGCTTCCACACCTCCACATCTTTCCCCCCCCGCCAACCTCTTAGTAACCTGCCCATCTTCCTAACCGAGCCCTCCTGGTCTGGACTCTCAAGCCAAGGCATCAGGGCTCTCCCTGAACCACTGTCCGGGAGAGGAACCGTATCCACGTCTGATCCCCAAAACCTTTCCTGAAAGCTTTCCCGTGTGTGAGCCAGAAATCAATCCTTGATTGTTCTCCGTTGAATGAATGCCTTCAGTGTTTACCGTCTCGCTGGCCTGAATGTTAGAATTGTGCGCATGTTGTTTGTGGGCATTTGTGCATCCTTTTCTTAGCTATCTGAAAGACCTTGTTTTGTTGTGTTTTTGGTTGCACTGCAGCCCCATGCTCCTGAGCAATGCTGCAGGAGCCGGGTGTGAGCAGATTGGAGGTCCATCTTGTGGGTCTGCTCCTGGTCTGGCCAGGGGGCATGTAATACAGATCCAGGCAGAGTTATACAGCATGGAAACTGACCCTTCAGTCCAACCGTTCAGTGCCTACCGTAATCCCAATCTAAACCAGGCCTGCTCCTGTCCCATGTCCCCCCAAACCTTTCCTATCCATGTACTTATCCAAATGTCTTTTAAACGTTGTAACTGTACCCACACCCACCACTTCCTCAGGAAGATCATTCCACACACGAACTACTGTGTAGAAAAAAAAAATTGTACCCCATGTCGTCTTAAAATCTTTCTCCTCTCATCTTAAAAAGTATGCCTTTTAAATATTGTAACTGTACCAGCCTCTACCATTTCCTCTGGCAGCTGATTACATACACGCACCACCCTCTGTGTGAAAAAGTTGCCCCTCAGGTCCCTTTTTAAATCTCTCTGCTCTCACCTTAAAAAAAAAATGCCCGTTGGTCTTGAACTCCCCCACCCTAGGTGAAAGACGCCTGCCATTCACCCTATCTATGCCCCTCATGATTTTATAAACCTCTTACGCTCCAGTGAAAATAGTCTCAGCCTCTCCAGCCTCTGCCTATAACTCAAACCTTCCATTCCCGGCAACATCTTTTCCGAACCCTCTCCAGTTTAATAATATCCTTCCTATAAAAGGGGAGGAGACCAGAACTGGAAACTGTGCTCCAGAAGAGGCCTCACCAACGTCCCTGTACAACCTCAACATAATGTGCCAACTCTTACACTCAAAGGTCTGAGCAATGAAGGCAAGCGTGCCAAACGCCTCCTTACCCACCCTGTCTACATGTCACACAAACTTCAAACAATTATGCCTGCCCGCCCCTCTTCCACGGTTCTGTTTGCACCCAGGTACCCTTGGAGAGGGAGCACATAGTGTCCATCAGTGCTGTTGATCTCTTTAGAGAGAGAGGTGGAGAGCTTTATTTCCCCGAACCAATTCAATTTTGATCTAGCCCCCTTCCCGCTCTCCCTCGCCTTCCGACGATCAGCATTGCCTAGAATGGGCTTTGCATGTAAATATCTGATTGGCTACACAGGTGATTTATTGGTGGCGGTCTGCAACTGGAGATTAAAAGGAACTGTCATGGCAATTTATTGATGGTTGGGGAAAAAGAACAGTTCAGTTGTGTGCAAGAGCATTTCTGGGTGTCTTTTTTTTTAAAAAAAACTTACATCGGCTACCTTCCACGAACATTCCGGGGCTCAGGCAGAGGTGGGGACATTTGCGAAGCCATTTGCTATCCTGTCTCACGCTGAATTTGGGTCTGAAAAGGACATTAAACACATCATAAAAGTCACCAATGCCATTATGCCACTAGTTTGGAATCCATACCTGAAAGGTGTTACTTCACAGAAGTCACCAACCCTCTTATGCCACTAGTTTGGAATCCACACCTGAAAGGTGACTGTTATGAGCCAGGTCAGACCCCCTCAAAACATTTTAAGGAGGCAGCCTGGACCCTAACTTTTTCTTATTTTAATGGCAAATGTGAAGTGCCATATTTCAGAGGCAATGCGACGGCTCAAACTTCTCGATGCTAAGCAATACACAATTTATTCGAACGCTGCAGTTAAAATACAACAAAAGGAAGAACAACTTGGAATAACTTATGGGAAAACTGAACAGAATAATGGATACAGTGACTATTAGTAATTGACTGTTCCAATACAGTAACATCCCATAAACACACCCCTTGATGAAAAAGGCAACTTCAGAAAAAAACAGATTTGACTCACAGTAGCAGAGAGAACCCCCACCTTCGAAACTATACCTCCTCAAGCTCACAACAGCTACTGCTTAAAGCCAGAACCTGAAAACTGAAACAAAAAACACTAGAAAGCTTGGTCCGTGAGAGCTGCCCACACCCAGCCTGTCTGCTTCTATTGTTCGAACATTTTTCTTTTAAAAAAGAAACACCCCAGGGCCTCACAGGCTCTTCACTTTCTAACAGACTGCTCTGCACGTCACATCCAGTATCTCATTTTAAAAACAAAAAACACGACAGGTCAGAATTTACCTTTTTTTTTAAAGTCACAGTGACGTTAATATACACCGTGCGTAAAAATCTCACTGAGTGGCACAACTTGAATCTTGCTTCCCCACTGCCCCCCCCACTCTCCACCACCCCACAGCCAACCCCTTTTGAGGGGCAGCGCATTATTCTGACTCCACCACCACCACCGCCCCCCACCAAAAGCCCTCACCCACCTTCTGGTTCCTTATCCAGTTTACTCCGATCCGTCCATACCCCGCCCACCCCTGGTGACCAACCTTCCCACCCCCGGGAACAGTCTCTCTCCGTTCTGTCTGGAGTCTTCCCCCTTCCCACCCCTCGCGACTCTGAACGTCCCTTCCCACTCCCACCCCCACCCCGCCCCAGCAAACCCGTTCAACATGTGACATTTCTGTTGGTTTCTCTGCTTTCTGTTTTTGGGGGGAAGCTGGCAGAAGGATGTGGCACCAAGGAGACCCCACAGCAGAAATACCAGCGCCTGCTGCACGAACTGACAGAGCTGTCGGAGGAGGTCGAGCAGATCAAGGTGAGGAGCCCCCGGGGCCTTACACATATCTCCGTCCCCTCCCCCTACACCCCTCCCTGTCTCCATCCCCTCCCCCAGCCCCCTACACCCCCTCCCTGTCTTTCTGCCTGTCTCGCTCTCTTTCTCTCCCAGACTGATATTGTTCTTGTGTCGGGGTGGGGTGTGTGTTGGGAGGTCTCGGCGGGGCTTGTGGGCAGCGGTGCCACCCAAGCATCTGCAGCCCTTCATCGTTCCATAGTGAGTCGGTGGGGGTGGGGGTGGGGGTGGGGGTAAGAGGTGTCGGGTTCGGAAGGTGCCATCAGTCGGAGGAGGAGCAGCCTCGGCGAGTCGCTGCGGGTGCATCTTGTAGACGGTACACACTGCTGCGGCTGTGCGTCGGTTGGGGTGACGATCAAGCCAGGGTGGGGTGCTGCTGTGTCCCCGGACGGTGTCGAACTTCTCGTGTGTTGTCGGAGGTGCGTCCCGTCCAGGCGAGTGGGGGTTGTTCCCCCCCTCACACTCCTGCCTTGTGCCTTGTCGATGGTGGGGGAGTTGGGTGGGGGTGTCAGGAGTGGGGGTTACTCGCTGCAGGATTCCCAGCCTCTGACCTGCTCCTTGTAGCCACAGGACTGATATGGGGCTGGGGGTCCCGGTTCAGTTTCTGCTCAATGGGTAACCCCCCCAGGATGTTGATAGTTGGTGGTGGGGGGTGGGGGGGGGGGGGGGG